CAACGGGTGGCTTGAGTCTGTACGCAGCCACAGGCCGAATAGGCCGTTGTTGCTGTTTGATCGGTTACTCCATGAGTATTTTTTCTGCCGATGAGAGAAATCATTATCCCACCCTCTTTAGTACTTTTATATCCTCTTTCTTAAGTCAGCAACGACTAAAGGGTGGATTATCGTAGAGATGGACGACGCATCTAGAGATGATGATGCGAACTGCTCTCTACTGCAAAAACGCAAATTGTTGCAACAGACAGTACAGTGCTCTGCGTACTTTTGAGAACGCCGAGTGAATCGTCGTAATAGTTCAGCCTAGGTAGCAGCTTACGTAGTTCCCTTTATCATGTCATTGACTTAACTAATTGATTTAATTGCTAATAACTCTGGTCTTTGATGTTATAAAGTAAATCATCTCACTGATGGTTAATCGTTAATCGCATTAAATTTGATTTCTTCTATATTCGTCTCACATCCGTAATTTTTAGTGCGATATGTCCGAAGCAATGAAGAAGGGTATTACGAACTATTGCTTAATTACAGTAGAAGCCATCTGATGCTGTTTCCGTATCATCTGTCCAACGTGATTGTCAAGGGGCTGCGCGTCACCCCGTTTCAGTACTATTGCAGTATGGTTGAAGTGTGGCTATGATAGTGATGCGTATTTCTTTAGTCTGTTGACGAGATCTTTTTTCAGGATCTTATGATACAGGAGAAGAGCTACGATGCTTTGCCGAATTTCACTGCCGCTGACTGTAAGCGTTCAAACTGCTGATTCCGGCGACGATATTATGGTTGATTTAATTTTGCTTCATATGCAGGTCTCCGTCTACTTGGAATTGGTCGCAATCAGTACATTGATCTGATGAACCAGTGCCGCTCTCTCAAAGTCTGATTAGCTGTTTGATTTTGATCCTGATGTATATCCCTTAACATTCTTGTTTTAGAAGCATTCAAATAGAAAATCGATAAAAGAAATTTTACCACAGAGTCCGGTGGACATCACCATCCACTCTTACTGGATTGTTCAAACGGGCAGCATTTTGGAAGATGATGTGAAAGTATAGTATAGTATTATATTTTTAGTAGAAAGTATAGTATAGTATTATATTTTTTTTATTCACTCGTTTTTTGTTATTGCTCTTAGCAAGTTCATCATCCAATTCACATGCCTCATTGTAAAAATAATGCTACTGTTTTATTGCTGTCATCTTTTTGATTTTCTGTTCCTCATAGTCATTCAGTTTCTGAAGTCTGACTTGAATTGAAAAAACTAATACATATTGTCAGTGTTTCCATCAAGTTTGACATAACCATGGATCGTGACCGAGTAGACATTAATGTTAAATTTACCGCTTACACAGATGCCTTAAAGAATCTCATACTCTAAAGTGAAATTGTAGCACTCTGCCTTGCACGAACATGACATTCGACGAAACCATTCTCATCTCAAAGTGAAGGTTATTAGGATCTGTTCAGAACCGTGTACTGAATCTGAGCTGACAGACATCACCTTATCTCTTCTTCAGATATATAATTAGGTACTAGTCAAACTTAAGCGAGTCATTACGTTTGCTTTCTCAATTCGAGACTTAGAAATGATGCGGAGTACATTGTTTTCTCTGTTTTGCCACAAGTTAACCTAAGAATATCGTTCAAATCATTTATTCGTCTTCGTCACTGGCCACTTGTCACTTGCCTGTTCGTAGAAGTCGACTTCGCGATGAAAATATTTCATAATGTTTTCATTCGAAATTAATACCGATGATGGATTGTCTCTCCCAGCTCTTCTGGTCAGAAATCTGTGAGTAGACCGCCTACTATTTATGGCTAATGGAATGATGGAATGATCAAAACCATAGTTATCAGTCAGACCCTTTACGTTTTTTTATTTATGGTTTCACTTTTGAGTACTGTGAAACGTAAAGTTACCTTAATATCAGTATTTCTTTATTATGATGTCTCTTGTTGCAGAACATATCAGCAGAAGAAAAAGCAGTAATCGATTATATGATTGATGTTGGTCCTCAAACTGTAAGTGCCTTCGACACGGACATTATTCAAAGTAAGTTTCGTTTTGTTGTGCATTTGTGGCTTTATATTGTTCTAATTTTTAACAGAACTGTATAAACGAGGGCTGATCTACTTCGATGTCCCAGTGTACGACAACGAGTACACAGTAGGTACTGTGGTTGTTTTTCATTGCGTTGTGAGGCAAGACGTGTTTAGTGCCTACATTGGATGGTTTCGTGATGAATCGAACCCTGGGTGATTATCTGGAAAACATTCTCTACAAGATTTTCATATCGATCGATAGTAGTACAACTGCCAGCGAGGTATGCGTGAATTCAATCTCTTTTTTATGTGACAGTTGTGAAGTGGTCCATTTTTTGGTCATGCGTCTTACTGGAGTTTTTTTACACATTTATGCTTTCGTTTTACAGCACAGTGTAATATTTGAGGCTTTCTGTGAATTTTCCAGCTGCTCTACCTGCAATCAATCCGCATATCACAAATACAGCAGAACTATATATTTGCTATAAAATACTAATTATATTGAAACTTCCTTTATATAGCAACATGGAACGATTTTCACTGGATACCGCTTTTGATTGTTTTCTACAGCAATTATCAATCGTCCGATTTTGCTGTTTAACTTCAGCGATAAATGGTTACCTCGGTACCATGACCCATGGCGAAATAAGAAGAACGTCAGTATGTAACTGACAGTTCGGCTGTCAGTTAGCTTGCTGCTCTTCCTTATTTATTCAGCGAATGGTGCGTTACTTGTTGACATTTCAGTGCTTGAATATCATCTTGTTGTTCCTTTCAACCACCGCCTTGCTGAATAGCAAACCGCTGTGCAGTCGGTATTACGTACATCCTGCTCTCAGTTCGTATGTTCATTTATTGTCAGCGGCATAGAATACACGTTTGTCAAGATGTTTGGACTACGAAGGTTTGTCACCGGTTTCCTCGAACGCTCTCAAATCCTTCGAAGAAATACTTCCGTGACGATGGTGAACGTTCGCTTTTCAATAAAGTACATTGACGCACCTGTTAGCAAAAGATAATGGTGCAGGGGTTTGCAACTTTGACATAAATAAATTCCATCCAGATTGGTGAATTGTCGTAAAACGAAACTTTTTTCCTTGAGCGCAGCTACTCTTTAAACAAAGAGTTACAGTCTTTCCAGCATTGAAAAATCGATTCTGACGTTTCAAACGCAGGGAAGCTAACAGATATGCATTGGTCCACTGTTTTCACATCAGCTTTGCACAATGTTCAAAGGGAATGGAAGAAATGTGAAATATTTCATTGGCTTAAAAAATTAGCATAAAAGCAATAGATAACTGTTAACGGAGATATCGATTCATTGCTTGCTTAAATGAAAGCTGTACTTTTTGCTTCACTGATCACAACAAATTTTCATGATTCAAAATCCTTCATTCGTTAACACCTTTCAACACTACTCATTGTTGTCTCATGACCCTATTCACAAATTTATCGTTTATTGTAAGATAACTGTGTGATAAAATGTTTTAATCTCTAGTTGGTAGCCGTCTTGAATGAATTGTACCAGTCGCTTATAGTCTTCTATTCCGTTTTTCATTCGTATTTAGTTTTTAGTTAGCAACATTCTTCTACAGACAGATTTTTCGTTTGAGGTGTGAGTAAGTCTCTCCTTTCCAAAATCCGAAATTATGACTACTTCTCTTACCAGCCAGATTTCTTCTGTTCACCCACATAAATTCTTAGCTGCCAGGGCAGTTGAATTTAATACGCTGTACCTGTTTTTTTACGCTGCGTGACGTGTGGTGGCCCTGTCTAGTACGGAGCTGAACTTTTGACCTTTACATCAAATTTATTTCGTCTGGCATTGTTTTAAATATATGTTAAAACGAAAGACTTACATATCCAATAAAAATTTGGCTGTTACAGTGCGAACATGTTAGCTGCATTAAACCACCAGATTTTATAGCTTTTTTACCGATCTCTCGTCTGAAGTTTTAAAATCCAGCTAGTAGGCAGGCGACGGCACAAAAATATTATTTGAGCACTTGCAGTGGATAGCAATGCATCTTGTATCGTTTCATTATATTGAGCAATACCTTATTCTTCTCTGATCTTGTTTCAGTAATATCGAAAATATAGGTTTTAAGCTGGAGTTAGTAAGCGAATAAATTCTAGAGAACTGGACATCATGACGTTTGGTACACCCACTTTGGCGGCAAAGGGGCTATTGAAGCAGTTCCCTGCTCCACGGTACTTGGCCACCTGCAGTACACAATTGCGTTTTACGTCATTGCTCATAGGGCATTTTAGAGGAAGGAGATAATATACTCTGCCGAAATCTGAATTTAAAAGAGTTGTGGCCTTTTAAGGCTCTCTCATCCTACGAACCTATTTCTGCATGTTTGAAATAAGCCTATGAAAGACCGACTTGAGTAATCAGTTATGACCAGTTCGAATTTAGCCTAGACAGTTAAGGTATGAGAGATGCATATGTCAGTTACGGGTGCTCAAGTAATGCCGGAGTATGAACTTCTTAAATCGCCCCTAATGCATTTTTGAGCGAGGCAAAGATTCCCTATGTTGTAAAACAAATATTTTCTTGTTATGCTCCTCTACAATTACTACCTGGATTACTAATTCCTGACGCATCGTTCATGACCTGCTTGAGCTCACTCCAGCAAATGAAATGAGGCAAGCATTATCCAGCAATGCAGGTGCTCAAATACCGTGGAGCCCCGGCGGCTAAAATTCCCACCTCCTTTCCCAGGCTCTTAGGTGCAGAAGGCGGTGCAACACCTCGTGAAATCTTATCTAAGAGGAATTATTTGCCAATGTTATGATAAGATGGTATTATGGTCGATGCATGTGCGTTTGCAAAAGTACAACTTCTTTCAGGTTTTATAACTCCGTAATTGCAGACACAACAGACAAAGAGTGAAGTGTTTACGACATTTGTTTTAGTGCCGGGGTTTTTTTAAGCAACACAAGCAATTTTCAAAGCTGTTTTCTTTTGTTGTGACGCTGCTTGATATTCTTTGGCCTACGTTTTGGTATTAAAGCAATGGTGGCATTAGCCATCGTCTGCTCGTAGTGTCTCTAATAATCGCATGTCATAAAATTATTTTCGTGATAATTTTCAGGAGCTACTGCCTTGCTGGGCCAAAGGAATAGTTGTGTATGAAATGCGCTGAATAAGGCATGCGATTAACATGAGTTTTCTAAAACATTTATTGTATGGTGTTATTAGAAAATAGCTTGCTAGTAAAAGATTTTATTCTTTTGAAGACGCAATTTGAAGAACAGTTACTTTGACCCATTTGCTTCTCATTTGTTAGCCGAAATTTGTATAATTGACTTGGAGTTCAGCACACACTACCTGGTAATACAAGATAAAGGCATATCAAGGCTTTTGGAGATGAGTATTTACTTAGATTCAATAACCGATGCCTTATAGCAAAAGTGTGTTGTTGAACTGTTAATACATCATACATTGCATACAACACGTTTTGCTTGCGCACTTCAGATTTTGCTCGCCGTACAAACACACACAAGACTGCATTGCATTAAGCGATATTTTTGGCTATGAAAGTGATTATTACATCAGAGCGCATATTTAATCGTCTTTTAATTCGCGCAAAATTTTGGCAAATGCTTTTTCAGTAGTTTCAACTTTTCTACATCGTTTTAAAATTTTAAATTTTCTTTTAGCTCGCGAATATTTTACAAATCGATTTGGACCTTGTCAAGGTATGGTGATATTACAGGTTAGAGACGATAAAATTTGTTTTACTTAGAGTACATTGACGTGTGCGACGGCATTAATGTATTGATATGTAGCCTTGCGTATGATGCAATGTTAATACTTTTCTTATTTTGAATTGTGAATCAAATTTAATACTGTTATCAGATCGGGTTAATTTGAAACTTTAAATTCAAAATGTGTAATGCGAATTAATTTAAATTTAGTGTTGAATGAAGCGATTTACAAAAACTACGAAAATCTTGACAATTTCTCATTCGAGAAGTAATTAGTTCCCTGTGCGCAGTGTCGCACTATCTGAATGACTAGAAATAATAAATTATAAATTGATCAGCAGTTTTGGAACATTGCCAAGTCTCCATGCAAGTGAGGACCTCCTTTAAAGTGTTTTGACTGATTTGTCTTAGTTTGATTAATCAATCTTTTTCGGCCTTACTGTTTTTGATTAACATATTTTTCCAACTGCATGTAATATAATATTTAGAGTGCGTTATCAGTCTTTTATCGGCTTGGTTTTGCTTACAAGAAAACCGTGACAGCGGATACTTCTGGTGTCTGGGAGAAGAGAGCTGTGAAAAAGTCAGGCTTCTTCGTTTGAGTGTTTGTGATCTGTATGTTTAATTGACTGTCAAACTGATTACAGAGAAATTGATGAACTATCCCTGGATCTGACCAGCGCCTTACAGACGTCAATCAGCGATTTGAACTTCGACGATATTCCCGAAAACAACCATGACAAAAGTATAGATGTTTTATTTATCATTATGGAATTGCCTTGGCAGTTTTGATTCGTTTCTAAATGAATGTTTACTAACTAGTTGCAGCAAAGTCTTCGTGTAGCGTATGCTTGATTTGTGTGTTGTTCTGCAGCCACAAATAGTGTGGTTATTCCTGTACATTGTACATGGTTCCTACTGTTATGACGATGACCAGAAAAGAAAGGTGAAGAGACATGCCCTTGTCGCTCTTTGCCTAGCCTCTGCGATTCACAGTTCAGATCATATCCAAACGCGAAAGACTGCATGTATTACATGGTTGCTTGATATTTGAGTTGCATGCAACTGTTTTTTCAATGTAGGTTTATGAAAATTTCGAAAATTGTTTAATGGTGGATTAATTCGTTTTATTTTTTTGTACATGAAATTACCTCCAAAAATGTATTTATATGGTATATTTGTATGTAAAAGTTAAGCAAAATTTAAATGAATTTTAAATTTTTGGTACTACACGTGCCTTTCATTATTTGCAGTTACCCGTAGTTGCTTTTTAACTAGCCTGCAATTTGTAGTTGTAAATTCTTACTTTGCGATAAGTTTATGACTCGCGAAGGAATTTTGTAGGAAAGAGTGTTGTCAGTCTTTCTGCGTGATTGATGTTAACAGCCCACTTTAATTATAGCAAACTTTCGACTAAGATTAAGTTGTTTATAGATTATTCTTTTGTAGTGTAAAAATTAATTTTGCTAAGCAATCTTTTGGATACTTCGTTCAATAGTGCATGCAAATATAACCGATATACAAGAGTCCTTTTCGAACAACTCAAAATTTCATCGTTGATCGATGTCATTTTTAGGAAAGGTTTTATAAGGTTCCGTATAATTCCGCATAATTTTAACTATCATAAACAAGTTTTAGCAACTGTATAATAAAGGTTTCTCTGTTTGTCTCAGGTGTTTTGTAAAATGAAGAAAGCAGTGATTATGTCACAAGTACCTGTCGATCGTCACGAAGACTGATGACGGTGTTTTTCTCAGTTCTTCTATGTTTCTAAGTTTTACGATTCAAGTTCATTGTTTTGAAAATTTATTACAAAATGAACATGGTTGTTAGGCTCATCGGTAATATCCAAAAAAACTGTTGAAAGGCTACATTGGCATTAAAGCCTTAGAAACCTCTCCTCCGAGATTTCGATCCTATCTGTGAACACCGTTTATGCAGGTTATTCTTAGAAACTTAACGTTCCTTGTTTGCATGTTATATGCTAATGAGACGCCCAGAGATTACTTCGCCGTTTTTTTTTGTTAATTATTTTCTTATTATCAGTTAAAAAGTCAAAAGTATGGACTATTCATTACAAAGATACCCGTTACCTAACTTTTCAGTGCGCCGTGAACGCAAGTCGACGCTCTTGAGACATTCTCGCTTAACCGCTTCGTGTCTACACTGCTAACCAAATAATTTGACGATCGAATCATCGCAGCATAGTTTTGGACGGTCGAGTGGCCCAACTTCTGTTTGCATCGTAGAATTCAGAAGTCGCATCTTTTGATGTAGTCGATTGTCAAATTTGTGCACTGAGCGAGGTTTCGAAGGGATACCTTGCACATTCTTCGCGCCGTCACACTGATATATTCGGCTTTAGTATCAGACCAGTGCATCTTGCCGGGTGCAACGTTTCAGTTGAACGGTCCTTTCTGATCCCACATTGGCGGGGTATTAAAATGGCAAGGTGATAAAAAAAAATTTATTAAGCACTTCATGAAGTTAGTTTTTTTCTGGCTTATCAGAGATTATCAGATGCAGTTGATCAAATTGATGGATTACAAAAATTAAAACTTCAAGAATAGAACTACTGAACCATGCTAGCTGCCTTCTTTGGTCATAGACTAGATCCACTGCTTATAGTTTTTGGTATTCGAAACTTTAGTATCGAAACGATGGCATTTCCGTTGATGGAGCGATGATTCTGTGAGAGTGCTGTAGATATTAGGGCTCTCATCGTCTCGTTTCATCAGCCATTTACATATACTGCTGCCTAAACTCCCTGGCGGTTTCAACTCGGCAGTTCTTTGATCCCCAGATATGTATATTCTTCAAAGCTTTAACGACCATTCGAACAGTTTTCTTCTTCAAAATAACAGTTTTTTGCCTGATGCGAAGATACTTTCGTCAGCATATGCTAATTTTTAGTCTATGTTCGCAGTTCTAGTCTAGTGTTTCTAACATCTAACCTTCATGAATGCAGCGTTTTATGAGATAACCGTCATTTGTGAAGTCGTGTTTGACTTGATTCGGCATGGTTTGCATTCCTCGCCAACTGACTTGACATGCACAATTGACTTTTAAGGTTTAACACTGAGGAAAAGGATTCACTCCTGTACCAAAACCCACTAGCTGTGTGGATGCTGTTTATATTGGACATTAAAAGAACGGATGTTCCCCAGCAGCCGCTGTACGTTTGACTGAGAAGTTGCAGTCTTACTGTCACTGGCGCTGCCGATCATTTTGCCGTAAGTAGAGCTTGCACAACTGCGTGTCAGATGTGTATGTGAACATGTTCTGATTTTTCTACGGTGATCCGTTTTAACCCCTGCATCGATGACTAATTTGGACTAAATTAATAGACACATAAGCGTTGCTTCTTCTGTTACTGACAAAATTTCTAAAAACGATATCGTTGATTGATGCCAAGTGTTGTCTCTGTCACTGACACATGCGACAGAGTTTCATTCTTGCTCACCGGCTGGGATCGCTGGATTTTTTTCTTACTTCAAATTTGATATGCTAGAAATGTTTGCAGATCAACATTAAGTTTGTAACGGTTTTAGATTTCCATGCACGCAGTTCAAACATTGTCACTAACGTTGATCAGCAGAAAGCATATTGTGCGCATCTCAATTGAATAACCGTAGTTAATTTCAACCGTTATGAAATCCATCATCGCGGGGTAGTCTGTTTTGTTTTTCAGTATCATAATAGATTTGTTTTGTAGCACACCTTAAATCAGATATTGATCATTACTCAGCATGGTCATGAGTACGTGGATTTTAAAGTTTGTAGTTTTGAGTTTACCTTTACACCATATGCCGATTTTAGTCAGCGCAAGTGGATTAAAGCTAGTTTAGTCGGAGAGGAGCAAGCAACAGCGTGACCTCATCTCGTATGCTCTAGCATGGCCATAGTAAACCACGATGTTTTCCCTATCATTCGCAGGTCAACGACCTGCTACGCGTTTTTCGGCTGGGTGCACTAAAACACACTTGAGTGAATTCTTTGCAGAGGGGAACTGACTGTTTATTATATATTATGCATGTTTGTTATATATTTATTAGCAGTTTATTCATTTAGAATAGGAAAACAGTGTTCTCCGCGTTTATCGTTTGAATTCGCAATTTGAATATCTTCTGTTTATCAAGTGACAAAAAAGACCTTGTTATTTCGAAATTAACTCAGCGAAAAAATTTTGCTGATAATGAACCGGCAAACTGTTCTGATTCCAATTTGAGTAATATCTAATTTTATTAAATAATAATACACAGTGAAGTTCAAGTGGATATAACGTCATTTCAATTAATTTTAGCCTATTTATTTTTAGTCCAACAATGTTTTTTGATTAATTTAACAATGGAAAAGTAGGCGTTATTGGTTTGTGACTATATATGTAATACACCTTTAAAAATAGTCATTATAATCACCAAATATCTGCCTAATAAAAAAACGTATTAAATCAACTGACCGTTCACTGGTTTTGAAATAACGAATAGTCTTTACTGGAATTACGTTTCAAGTTAATGGACAAGTAGTTTCGAATCTAACATTTTAGTCAAGCGACACTGACCGTCCCAAAAGGGATAAATGAGTTAGGATATCCGCGCTCAAAGTGATAATTACAGTCATCATTACCAGTTATGAATGATGGCGACATGTGTTATTAAAAAGTCTAACGAAGTAGTTGATTAGACCCTTTGCCCTTAAATGTCTAATATACTCTCACCGTGTCCCTCCATATCCTACTTGAATTCGCAGTGATGTTAAATGGTTCTTTGTTAACAATTTGAACCTGTCTCCTTAGCGTCACCTGGGCAACGGTCATTTTCTATGGCTTGGGCAACAAAACCGGTGTTCCGGATGGTGATTTCTGATCGATGCTTTGTGTTTGCTAATTCTATGTTGAGAGTTCTAGGCGTTTTCTTAATACATGTAAATTCACAACCTTCTCGCATAATGGGATAAATAGTTAAGAAGTTAATTTGTGTGTGCGGACGATGATCAAACAT